ATCCAACTTATATATATTTACATTAAAAATTTATGCATCTTGTGCCATTATCACACAAATCATATGATAAAAAATTCTAAAACTCATTTCCTATTATATATATATCGCACGTATGTATGCGAGAAGTCAAATGCAGACTAAAAGTGTATCGGCTTTTAGCATTCTGAAACTAAATTCCAAACACCCTCGCACACTAAACACACATACATTCATTTTTCACACACACGCGGGACAGTTTCTGAGAACCTCTCAATTCAATCTTCATTTGACATTGAGACTCAGCGGAAAACAAAGTTTTTCATCTTATATTCTCATAGAGCTTAGAGCTTATAAAACTTGTATTATGAATGTATACTTGTGTCTGTATAAAACAAGTTTTAAAAATACGTCCGTTTAACCATTCTAAGCCGTGCATGCACTGATTGAATGCAGTGGAACGCATTCTCATTTCTCGTTTTTTTCAGTGGGTTTTCACTCTCGGTTGAGATCACCGTTTAAGAAGTTTTTCTCTGTTGTGTATTCAGTTTAATAATTTACTGTCAAACTTCTAAAATGTTGAAGATTGTTTCGTTATTTGTGATATATGCAATTGTTGTTTTTGCACAAGATATGAAGGAAAATGACGTTAAGTCCTTATCAGTTCTTCACGACGCGTCGGATTCTGATGACTCATCGAAAAGCTGTCGAATTAAGGATCATGTTATTCGACACTTAGACGAGTGGACTCATCCTAATCAGTGCATCCGCTTCTTTTGCTACGAAGGAATTATTCTGGATGTGTCCTACTGTGCCGATTTATTCATATCAGGACCTGGATGTGTCATCGTACCCGTCAAACAAGACTTAGATTTTCCATATTGTTGCCCAAAAGTAGTGTGTTATGATCATAATTAAATATCAGTGATATGTAGGCAAAATATAAAGGTGAAAATATGTACTATTAGGTTTGAATAAAAATAGTATTTCTTAAAAAATTTAAATGCGTTCACTAGAAAAATATTTTTTTGTATCTTTTAGTCATGTTGAAATTAAAACTTGAATGAATACTAGTCTCCATATTGAAATATACATTCAGGAATATTTGAACGATAAATGCACCAAAAGTTTCTTATCACTGTGGATAAAGAATTTTTTCATATCTTTAGTTCAGTGTTGTTTTCATGCATTCCTATAGCGCAATGAAATATTTAATGAATCCTTATGAATATGTTTATAGGAATTTTTAAATTGGGAAAAACCTAATAACAAGAAAAACAAGATTGTATTCACGGAAAACTATGAATAAGAGTGACATATTCTTAATTACCATTGGAAAAAAAAGTGTTAAACAAATTATTCTAAATGCAATCATGCATATTACACAATGAATGTGTTTGTGATAAAATGTATATCTGTGAGACCTATACAAATATAGTAAATATAGTAAAACTTACCTTGTTTGTTGATCTTGCATTGTATTCAACGGAACTGGTTTTGGTTCAGGCCTCTTAATCAGTTTAGCGGTGAACCTTTGCTCTCTTAAGAAATCATTGTATTCCATGTGTAACCTAACCACGTCGGGTTGGAAATCGGTGTGTGCCTTTTCTGAAGAAGAGACAAAAATCTATAATCACTCACCTAATATTGATAGAAGACAGAATAAATACTAACCATGATCGTCACACAATTCTGCTCCGTTGAGATGGATTTTAGTAAAGTGTGGCAAAGGATCTTGGATTGGAAAGAGAATTTCATAGATCACATTCCATCTCTCCTCATTTCCAGGAGTTCTTAGACGGTGAAAGTGTAACATCTTCAGCGATCCAATGAAAGTGGTGTCGTTTAGCGGTACAGTTGCAAAATCCACATCCATTGTGATATTATGTACTTTGCTGGACTCCGTAGTCCAGGCCCAGCCAATGGCTTGCCAGCCCAATTTCGGCCCGATATATATGTACTTCACTCCGTTTGGGCATTTTGGATGATCTAATCTCTGAGCAATTGTGAATAAAACTACACAGAAAAATGGCAGAAGCTTGAGAAAATTCATTGAATGTGATATTTCCTTAGCCAATGGACAGTAACACCGCAAACTCAAGCACTAACACACGACTGAAGAAACGCAAAACCATTGCATGTTTCAATCTCAGAGTGAGTGGCGTAGACTGGTGAGAGAATCTTCTCCAACCAGTTTCGAGGTTAACGTGCCACGGAAAAACACAAGTTTATGTGATGTAAGTGGAAGTCTGGTGAGTCTGTCGGCGTGTTTTCCAACATTTGCGAGCTACATATGTATACACATAACACTTTAGTATACTACGACATCATCTCTTCATCGCCGAAACGCCATAAGTTGCTAAGCTTCCCCTGAACACGATGTCCTTCAGCCAAGCAGCATGGCACGTGTCATATTAATTCAGTTAAGATATCACCGCAGTGCGAAGTATTGACTTTCCTGATCAAGCACATTTGTCATACACGGCAGTAAGACGCATATTTTCTTCGTGAATCGCAATGTTTGAAATTTTTAAAATAAGTTTTAGGACTATGAACATGTCCTGAAGTAGTGGACAATAAGTGAGCTACATGTATATATGCTCATAAGGAGTAAAATGTCAAATCAGTTATATTTTATGTTTTACAACACTAAAAAATGCATTTTTAGTATCACATTAAGTTACAAATGAATTCTGTGGAATTTGTACAATTCATACATTAATAGAAAAATATCTCAACTAGAAAAACAAGATGATATTTATTAGAACCTGTGGATAAGTGAGACTTATTCTATATTGTCATTTCAAAGACTGTAATTATTCCTGATATTTGTCTGTACATGCATGTGGTTTTGATAAATTGTGCTTTTTGCAAGACTTTCTGTTACTAAGATGCATATGAAACTCTGTGCAAAAACATCATTCGGTACATCATTTCCATATTTTGCGATGAAATTAGTAAAAAAGTGCTAATATATATGTAAATAAATATTGTTAACCAACAATAATCTAATTAAGCACTCTAAAACTCAAACTCTAATATTCAGGTTTTAGGGGTCGCGTTATGGAAAACACGCTCTTAAGATGATGTCGCTGGGAGTATTGTGAGTCTTTCGACGTATTTCCCCACTTGTGAGATGTGTTTTATATATACATACATAGCAGGTGTATAATTTCTTAGTATACTACATCATTTCTTCTTTGAAACGCCATAGATTTGTAAAGTTTCCCCTCCAACAAGACGTCCTTCAACCAAACACCACCACACGGGCCACACGAACTCAGTTCAGAGTTTGCTCTCTGAGAAGTATCAAGTTAATTCTGCCGGTCTATCACATTATTATTCAAAATGATCAGAGCAGTTGGAATAGTTCTGACAGTTGCAATATTTGGAGTTTTGATCAATGCACAAAACATAAACCTAGTGAAGAAGACTTTGCCGCCAAAATTTCTGAATTCAAATAACACAATCAGTGTCGAGGATGGTTGCCAGATTGGGGACAAGGTTCTGCAGGACAACGAGGATTGGACTGATCCAGATCAATGTATTTACTTCTTTTGCTATAAAGGCATCCTTCTAGATGTAAACTATTGCTGGAATGTAACACTAACTAAGCCTAATTGCTACATTCAACCAATTAAGCCTCATCTAGATTACCCTTATTGTTGTCCAAGTGTTGTTTGTTTTGATGACAAGCGAAATAAAAAATGATTTAAAGAGTAACACAGTTTACATTGTCTTTTATTTATGTATAATAAACATATTTATATGCAATTAAATCTTCTGAGATTGCCTGATACTTTTCTTGTCATATCAATTTTCTCTTTTGGAAACCCCCAGCGTTTTAAAATTGTGTCAACTTCAGGTCAGATTTTTCACCTATGACTGGCTGGGATAACCGAGTCGATTTACCGTACATTTTTATTGGAATGCTATGTTTACAAAATTTTTAAAATATCTATTGGCCTCATCACTGAGAGCAGCTCAGTTAACTCGTGCATTTTCGCCATATTTAATATAGGATCTGAAAGTAATAAATTCAGATGTATTTCATATTATTCTGTTATGTTCCTGTGCAGAAATTTCTCTTTCAAACAACTTACACAAATATTATCTGAGAAAACTCACCTTGTTATGTTACTCAAAATTTCCGTTGCATTCGAATTTTCTTTTATCTATTCTTCGGGTCTTTTGAGCAATTCAGTGGTAAGTCTTTGTTTTTCCACATTATCATGATATTCCATATGCAATTTGACTATATCTGGTTGAAAATCGGTGTGAGCTTGTTCTGAAATGCAGTACATAATTTATTCAAAAATGCTCAATTGAGCGTAATATTTCACTAACCATGATCTTCGCAGAGAACTTCGCCGTTTAGTTTAATTTTAGTGATATGAGGCAGAGGATCTTGAACAGGAAAGAGGACTTCATAGATTATATTCCATTTCTCCTCATTTGAAGGTGTTCTTAGTTGATGGAAGTCTAATAATTTCATTGATCCCAAGAATGCGATGTCGTTTAATTCAGCTGTTGCAAATTCAACATCTAATGTGACATTTTGATTGCCTGAATCAATCCTGGCGTGGCCGATAGCCCGCCAGGCTGACTTTGAGCCAACGTAAATATACTTCACGGGACATTTTGGGTGATCGATACTCAGGCCAGTGACGCACAGAATTGTACAAAATGTCAAGAGACACGTCGGAAAATTCATTGAATGTGATTTTTGCAAGACAATTGAACGTATGACACCGCAATCTCAAGCACTAATACACGACTGAAGAAGTGAGAAATCACACATGCTTCACTCCACCAAGACCGTGAGAGAATCTCCCCAAACCCGTTTCACGATTAACCTGCCACTGAAAAACCGCGATGGTCCGGTTTATCTGTCGGCGTATTTTCCCAGTTTTTCTACGTCACAATCAATCGTCGAAGACATACCATTTGTTATTAAGCTCCCCCTCCATCATGATGTCCTTCAGCCAAACACCATCACACGAGCCACACGAACTCAGTTAAGAGTTTGCTCTCTGAGAAGTATCAGCTAAAATTTGCTGTTGCAGCAAATTCTTAATACACGACAGTAACGCGCATGTTCTTTTGACAAAAATGTTTAGAGCAGTTCTGACAGTCGCAATATTTGGAGTTTTGATATTTGCTCAAAATATTAATCAAATAAAGAAGACTCTGCCGCCAGTATTTCTCAATTCCAATGACTCAGTCCACGCAGAGGGAAGCTGCCAAATTGGGGATAAGATCTTGCAAAACAACGAAGAGTGGACTAATCCAGAGGAATGCGCCGTCTTCTTTTGCTATGAAGGAATCCTGCTTGACGTTGCCTATTGTGCAAATTTAACAATAACTCAACCTAATTGCCACATCGTGCCTGTCATTTCCTTTTTAGACTATCCATATTGTTGTCCATTTACTGTATGTTATGATGATTGAGAAATATATGATTTTCAGAAAGAATTTATCATTTTTTTATTAACCATAAGTAATTGAGATTTTTTTGGATGAGGAAAACATTTACTAATATACAAATTTATAAGCTGATGATTATGTGAAATAAAATAATTGAAAGTTATTAAAGCAATGCAGAAGTCTGGGAGAATGACTTGATCCAGTCTAGGAATGGGACGATGTCAGTGAAGACGACATATTCATTCAGATCGCAAGCTGATGATTTCTTATCTGAGAGAGATGTTGATACAATTCCTCGGAGAGTCCAGAGATTGTCCTTATTGAACATCAGACCTCCGCCCGAGTCTCCATTGCATGGCCCAATTGATCCATTTCTGTAGCCCGCACAGAAAGTTGCATCTGAAGTGATCCTTGCAAAAAGTTCATGCGATCGGAGGCACATTTCGTCTGAGACAACTGGAATTTCAGCCTTCTTGGGAAGTTCCGTGAAGTAGTTTCCGTTCTCGTCGCGACCCCATCCCGCGATCACTCCTGTGAGGCCAACAATGCTTTCCTTGCTTATTGGCTCTTTCCAAAGGCAAGCAGGCCGAATGTACGTTGTGAATTGGATAGATTCCTTGAAAACTATCACTGCAATATCAGAATCCACTTTGTTGCGCTTTTGATAGTTGGGGTGGATATTGACACTCTCGGGATACAAAACACGGGTGTCTTGATCGTAGGGCCGCTTGAGATTGTGCTGACCCAATATAACAATCACATCTTCTGGCTTCACCCTTCGACCATAGATGTCGAAGAAACAATGTGCAGCTGTGATTACGAGGGTGTTTGAGACGAGAGTGGCGCCGCATTGAAATCCTAGTTTAGAGCCGACGTAAGAGTAAACCGAGACGAGCCACGGCCAGGATCCCCTCGGAATGGTATTTCCATTTAAAACCAAATGCACTGTATTGTCAATCTGCCCCACTTCGCCACACTCAAAGGCAGGCCTTAAATATTGGAAATATTATCTATGATGGTATATAGTAAGCACACCGTCTGTTGACGATTTTCCCACTTACTCAGCTTTTAGTTCACTGACGTCAGTCCTTGTTGCATCAGGAGATGTTGCTTCCTCTGTGGTTTTTATAATCTCACTGAATCTTTCTTCAGTGTGCAAAAAAGAATTATAAGTGTTGCTTAACAATATCTTCGTAATTTTTCCCGAAAGTTTACGTGGAACTGAAATTGATATTTGCTGCATTAATTAAAATGAAACTGTGGAATCTTATTAGTAATCACCTTTGTTTTCAAAGTATATACTTTGATGCACCATAATTCGAGTAACAACTGGCAGAGGATCTTGCGCAGGAAGACGAATTTCAAAATGAAGACAATATAGTGGTTCAGGCTCTGGTCTTTTAGCTATGCGGAAATTAAGTACTCTAATTTCTCCGAGATAGGACGAATTATCAATCTTTGTCGTCTCCAATTCCACAGTAATCCGTATATTGTCCACTCGCTCCCAATGGCCCATAACCACGTCACCAATTCCGATCCACCCGATTGTAGGGTTAATGTAGTTAAAAAAGAATGAATCTAGCAGATAATTACCCATCGGCAGTCTTTGTAAACTTAATGACACATTTGTGATAAATATGAGACACGCGAAAAGCTTCATTTTGTTATGTTTAATCAACAAATAAACGAGAAAATGTTTGCATTCCGACGATGGAAAACTATACTGTTCGAAATATAAATCGTGACTAGTGTGATAATAGAAGCTGTACCATCGAAATATCAGTTTTTTTTAGAACTGGGTTTAGTTTATTTACAGACTTCTCCATGAAACAAGTTCTTCTGCTTCAGCATCTGCTTAAAATCTCATCAGTGGCAGCCAGCAGGTAGTTTGAGATTATGCTAAGAAAGAGAGAATTATATTATACATTTTCTTTTGTAACTCTTATGTATAATCTAATATTGTACGGAAACACATTGATGTTTATTTTATTTTATTGCCAAAATGCAGAACGTCAAAGTTTCTTAGAAACCGGTTATCATTTTAAACATGTATAATACATGTATGCTAACCGCCTTGAATTCTTTAAGATCATGGTAGAGAAGATCTTGAACCATTTTCAGTTTGATTTTAGATCCGCTATTAGACGTTTTCAATTTATCATTGACTTAAAAAAAATATAATGATCAAGCTAGTCTTCATTATTACCTTTGTCACTATTACGTCGCTTAGCCTGGAAGATTCGGACTGTCAGTATAAATTTGCTTATACATAGGTGCGTTCCGTAAAACAAGTGATATAATTTAATTGCGCTATTACAGATGTCTACAAATCATGCCGAATTGAAGACGAAGTTCTGAGACATGGCCAAGTGTGGACGTTCCAAAAATATTGTGTAGAAATATTCTGCTATGATGGTTTCATTCTCAGGATGTTAGGATGCACTGCAAAATTGAAACCAGGACCCAATTGTTATGTGACTGGAATTCAATCTACGTATGAATATCCTTACTGTTGCCCCAAAATTGAATGCGAATGAATAAAACATAATTGTGAATCATTTGCAATTTTAATATTAATATATAAATGGAAATTTTGCCATTGCTGTCTTTTAATTCATGTCCCTTTAAATTTGTTGTCTTTTACAGTTAAAGCTTCACATGCATTCTCGTGAAGCAAATGCTTCGTGACGACTATGCTTTATTCTCTATGGCAACCCTATAGTTGTTATTGACAATCAAAAGCAGACGCCGGTGTTATTTTGCCCAAAGTTTTGCCTAGCAATATTTCTAGTAGAATAGAAAAAGTACAAGTTTAATAGGATTAATAGAAGTGAAATTTTATTAAGAAACAATTTTAATATAGGTGTAATATAAAGTAGTTAAAAATAAACCAATATTTTGCAAGATCTGCAGGAAAACATTGTGTCAACAAACGGGGTCATTTTGTAAGCTTCCTGAAAGTCAATGATCTAATCGACATTGCTAATTTGATATTTGATGTGTTTGTTGTTTAGGAAGAGTCATGGAGCGTATCTATCCACCGAGAAACAAGGCAAAATTCAAGATCAAAGACCACATGAAAGAATTTATGGACATACTCCCAGTGAAAAATGCGACAATGTTTCCGGAGACAGAAAAAGACATCCAGAAACTGATGGATTTGCAAGACGACGATGTTAAATTCTTCTCGCTAATGGACTCAATAGACATGGCTCAGATGGCTTGCCCGCAGGACATTCCAGTGGAGCCTTTTGATCCCACGAAGCCCATCTACACTCGCGCCGTGGGGATCAGCGTAGAGATTCCCAAGGAAGCGCTCAAGCTCAACACAATCCAGGCGAGAGTGAATAAGAGCCAGAATGCCAACAGCCGGATTGATGAGAAGAAAGCCAGGCATTCTCGTCACAGGCGGCTCAATACAGATTTAGGGTCAATTGCTGATGTCGACTTGGTTCCATTTGAGGAAACAGTCATCAGCTTGCGCTTCTATCAGCCTTACAAGTACGAGCCTGAGAACACTGCCTTCGAGATCAGCTTCTGCCAAGAATTCCTGGTGCTGGGATCTCAAACATTGTCGGAATTGCGACCCAAGATCTTCTGTTCGGCATCTTCTGGGCCATTTCCCGAGATAAGCGAGAATCCTAATGCTGAGAGACCGGCTCTGGATGATGAGGCAGCTTTCTTCTTCATCACAGATACTTTCTACAATGACTTCTCTCGGCCCTACGTCAAGGACTACTCTTCGCCAATAGTAGAGTGGGCGAAGGGCATAGAAGAAATCGACGAGCTTAAGTCCGCCGCAATGGATGAGATGAAGTTTGAAGACCTCACTGTTCGCATAGGATATCCTCAGCTCTACCAGCACTACGGAAACTGTGAGCACATCTTTGTCTTCTCAGATGTGAAGCTCCTGCAGCCGTCAGATATTCTTCAGCGCTCTCAGTACCCATTTCTGAGGACGGTTTCAAATAACCGACGCCACATCTGCTACATTTGCGGCGTGAATCCGGTTAAGTACCTCGTCCAGGGATGCAAGAGGCAAATCACAGATCCCACTTTCTACTGCGCCACTTGTTTTGACGCATATCTGTACAATGAGGGGGAGAAAATAGGCAACTTTGAGGCTTTCAATTACGCTGAGAATCGTCCACCAACACATTAGAATTAGACTATTTGAATTGGATAATAAATTTTATATTTTCTTCTGTAAATGCATTTTGATAAAAGAAATTCTACATGAAATCCGCGGCAAATGTTTCAACCATGTTTCAACGATGCTCGATGCTGCATCTGCCGGGAGCATATGGTATTTGAGGTTATGTTTGTAGGTCGAAAGGGGAGCAAAACCGTGACTAGAGTTAAATAATAATGCAAAAACTCACGGGATTGTTCGTGAATTTACATGGATTGTCTTGTAATCTCTCCACGTTGCCCCGAAGATTAAGTGTAGTGTGCAAAACCAGCGATTTTGTCCAGAAAAACAGAGAATGTCATAGCGAACGAGGTAAGCTCAATTTCCTCATTTTACAAACAATTCCGGGACTTATCCTTCTCCTCTCAGTTCCAGGTAGTCCCCAGAAGGTTGAAGACATCATTGAGAAGCGTCGTAATGAGGCCAAACGGAGCATTGTTGTGCAGGTGTATTCAGAGAACTCCTTCCCGGAACTCCACTCCTATTGCTCCCAGTTCGGCCAGATCCAGGGTGGCCATCACTATGGCATAACCGCTTATGGGGAGAATCACAACTACATCGTGGTGGAGTTCGCTGAGGTGGAAGAAGCCCAGGCTGCAATTCGTGCCAGTGGTTTTATCCGGGAAGCTCAAGTGATTCCCGTCCAATCATCCTTCCTCTACTTTGGCAAAGGAGCACCCAGAAAACCCACCCAAGGAGCCAAACTGACTACGGTGAATGGTGCTAATGTAGCATCCAATGAGGAACTTAACGGATGGCTTCAGGTCGCCACCAGTATTGATGATCAGCTGAAAATTCTCTACAATGCCACAAAATTGAACGATTTGGGCACGCGAATGCGCTTCCTGGCGGCTCAGCAGATTGAGAACGCCCTCTCGGGAATGTTCCCATTTGCCAGAGCATTGCCCTTCGGCTCTTCTGTCAATGGATTTGGCAAACTAGGCTCCGATCTTGATCTCATCCTTGAGCTAGACGATACCAAGCGTTCCAGTACTGCCTCTCGCCTCATCTTTCACTCCAAGGAACTCACGGATGCGCGTCATCAAGTGCAAAAGTGCATGGAAAGGATTGGCGATGTTGTGGAACTCTTCCTACCGGGAATTTCAAATGTTCGCCGAATATTGCGAGCAAGAATTCCTATTGTAAAATACAAGCACGAGTTCTTGGACCTGGAAGTGGATCTCTCCATGTCCAACACGAGTGGCCTGTACATGTCGGAGCTGCTCTACCTCTACGGAGAGCTGGATGAGAGAGTAAGACCGTTGGTGTTTGCCATTAAACGATGGGCTCACACTGTGTCTCTGACCAATTGGACTGCCGGACGATGGATCACAAATTTCTCCCTTACGGCGCTCGTGGTGTTCTTCTTACAGCAGTTGAAGAAGCCCATATTGCCCTCGATAAACCACTTAATAGTCAAAGCCTCTCCTGAAGACACCAGGGTGACTATTGATGGAATCAATTGCACATTCGCGAGAGATCTGCAGAGGATCAACTTCAAGAGAACCAATGAGGACAGTCTAGGCGGCCTGTTACTGCAATTCTTCGAATTTTACTCCGACTTTGACTTTGCGAATCGAGCTATAAATCTTAATGAGGCCAGGCAGACGCTCAAACCGGACTTCTCGCCTATGTACATAGTCAATCCCTTCGAGATTAATCTGAATGTGAGCAAAAACGTGAGTCTGGAAGAGGTGGAGCGCTTCAGGATGGAAAGCCGGGAGGCAGCATGGATTCTAGAATCGCTGGTAGAGCAGAACAGTGTCACAGCTTGGGGCCTGTTGTCCCTCCTCCTCAAGGGACCAGCAACAGTTGCTCGACGGCCAATGCTGGATGTTCGCAAGCTGTTCGACAACATGGAACCACCAGCAGTATCGCATGAAGAAGAAGAGGAAGAGGAAGAGGAGGAGGAAGAAGAAGTTTCTGGCCGAAACTCCAAGAGGAGATTGACGAAGGCTAAGCGGAAGACTGACGTCCTCGAGACAAGGTAGCTGGAGCGTAAAATTACTAGTTTTGAGCAGGAATAAAACGTTTTTATTCGAAATCATCATATTCATAGTATTCATCGTATTCATCAAGATATTCATCCTCTTCAGATGATTCCTCAGGACAGGGTTCGACGTCTAAAATGGTGCTCCTGTAGGCTGTGGCCACTTTCTTGTCCCAGCGACATAGAGTACCTCCTCCGCGGACCATCTGGTGTTCAGCTCTGTTGATGTCGCCCACGCAAATCCAATCCTTATTGTTTTCAAGTGCCACGGCCCACTTGGAGTGATCGTCCAAAGAGCGGAAATTAGTGCGTTGCTTCTGTACATGCACCATAACATCCCTGAGGTTCAGAATGGGAAATGGAATGGAGCAATTGGTCTCCAGTCGGCCTGGACCATGAAGCCAGGATTCCACCACGAGGGAAGAGCCCAGAACCGGAGCCACCCAGTCCATGTAGAGTTCTTTCTTGAATTTGGCGCTCTTTGCGAAGCTACTGAATGCATTGCCTTCTTTGGATTTGATCTGTTCCAGGCGCCAATACGGCGGATCGCTGACCATCTTCATGTCTGACGCCTTTACGAGGTTCGGGAATGAGCCTTTGAGAGCCTCTGGAATGTTGATCTCGTAGAAATGGGGCTCGTTCATGTGCAATTGCAATCCTATGGTGTCCATTTCGGTGGAATTGAACGTTACGCAGAGGAAACTCTGCCCATAAATTGTTCCAGTCTTTGGGAAAGTGTAGTCAAGGCCTAATTTGCTGGGGAACTTGGGTACCGAGTGAATAAGCCAGAATCCCGTTTCTCCGTCCGTTGCAACTACGCCCTTTGTGTGTCCTCTTGTGCCGTCTGTCGCTCCCTCGGGTGGCTCGTCGTTGTACATGAGCACGAGATGCTGATCCGTGAGCTGTGACAGCGTGCGACCAGGAATACTCTGGGGATCATCGATGGGCTCCTCTGAAAGTCGCCAGTCATTGTCGTTCTCCGTCAGTGCGAGGAAATGCACTCCCGTTGAAATTTTCTTGGGCAACTTATACAGATTATACCAATCGATGGGCTCACCCTGGTCATTTCTGCAGGACAGGGCGGCCTGGCCAGCTTCCAGGAGTGCGCAGAACACGAAAAACGCGAAAACCACTCCAAGAACTCGGTACATTGCAAACGGTATGCGATCACAGCGAACACAGTAAAGCTCCACTTTGTGCGTCAGAAGAGCTTTTCATCGAAGATTCTGCGATCGTTTGAGATCGCATCTCGCACGAAGCTGTGTGTTGAATTTGGCGGGAGATTTTGGCGCCACGCTGTCTGCTCTCGATCGCCTAGAGAAAATCTCATCTACTCCCAATGAAATGTTACTCTTGGCGTCAATAGCCAAGCATTGACGCACTTCTTTCCAGTTAAACGAGGCAACTTTTGATCGAAGCAGGTGTCCTCTTTGGTGAGAAGATTACCTCTCCTGGGAGCTCTGGAGGAGAACTGTGTGATCTTTAGCGCTACAAATTTATTCTGTCAAGTTTAATAACATATTACATCCGGACAGCACTCCGGATAGTCTTTTGTGGTGTTAATCGGCCCCAAAATGCAGTCAGGATTGGATTTATGCGATTTCGAACACTCTTCAACGCTGTAGAACACTTTTCCCATTTTATAAGCGAAGCACATGTATCGCACGCAATTGTCTCGATCAGTCCACATTTCGTCCCTCTGCAGAGCCCTTTGGAAATTCTCCAGCCAACATTGGTGGGGAAAATCTATGAGAAACAACCTGAGGATTACTTGCGCTCAATCTCTCAAAATAAGTGTTGCTGCTCACCTGGATTAACAGGGGATTTGTAGGATATTGCCATCCCCTGATTTATGGCAATGAGGATTAGGTAAAAGACACAAAGATCGCTCATGATCGAATCTCGGAGACACACTGTCTCGATGAATCTTCTTGGAACACCACACGAGACACAAATGAGCACAAAATCGCCTCTCAGGCGAATTTATGTGTGAAGAATGACGAAAATCTCCATTTGAAATGTGAAGGTCGACTATTGGAGTAGTTTGATAGACCATCTATAGATTAGGTGTTCTTGGAAGCTCTCGTGTTTATCGTTGAAAAATAGAGTCAATCGTTTAACACTATATTTATTGCGTCGATCTATTTTACATGTTGATTAGAGGAAAAGAAAATATTAATCGTTCCACAAGATTGTGATAATTTCCATATTGATTGGTTATTGGCAAAGCCCTATTGCTTCCGAAAATACGTATTAAATGCAGTCGATTGATCGGTTCAGTAGATACATATGAAAACGTTGTGCTGTTAAGTAATGTTACTTTGAATGGCGCTCTTGTAAAATTCCTTCACCACTTCGGGAAGAAATGTATGGATCGTATGATTGAATCCAGTCTAAAAATTTTGAGACGTCCACAAAAATGGTGTAGTCGTCAAGATTACACTTAGCCGATTTAGTTGGCGGAAGAGATGTGGAGATCAATCCGCGGAGAACCCATCGTCCGTTAATGTAGAAAGCAAAACCTCCGCCAGAATCACCCCCGCAAACTCCTGATATGCCATTTTTCCAGCCCACGCAGAGAGTTCTCTCGGTTAGAAGTGATTGAAACAGTTGATTCGATCTGCGACACACGCTGTTCGCTACAATGGGGATTTGAATCCATCTCGGGAATTGTGTATACACATTCCCAGACTCGTCCATTCCCCAGCCGGCTGCAATGCCAGACTCATTAAAGCTAATCTCAGGATCTGTGGGTTTCCAGAGGCAAATGGGGCGAATGAACTGGGTAAATTCCACAGGTTCAGGCATAATCAGAACTGCAATATCTGCATCAGGCTTGTGCTTGCTCTCGCCCTGGAGGATGTAAGAAGTGTAGTCGTTGTGGAGTTTCAAAGTACTCGGATACACAATTTTTGCACCTAGAAATGAGAGAGCGGCGTAAATTATGGTTCAATCACCATAAAAAAGCTCTCGATTACCATCCTCGTCGGGTTTTCTCAGATCGTACTTGCCCAGGATGAGAACAACGTCCTGCACAAGAATCTTTTCTCCAGTATTGCGAAAGAAGCAATGTGCTGCTGTGAGTACGAGTCTGTCGGATATGAGAGAGGCGCCGCAAGTGAAGGATAGCGCGGCTCCATTGTAGCTAAAGACACCCACTAACCAAGGCCAAGTGCCTCGCCGTATTGTGTCTCCTCTCGCCACGAGGCCTGTTGCACTGGACAGAGGATGGAGAGTTCCACATTTGTCTGCATCAGTTCCGTTCATGTTTCTGTTGTAAGAAAATTTAATAGCAATTAGGATATGTCTTTTAAACTATCTGTGTCTGATATATGACCTGATTGGAGTGGCTTCATGGCCCGGCGAAGATGTATCAGTTGAAGACAGAGTATTTCGAGTAGATTGTGTTCTATTAGTTCGAACCACAGTATTCTTAGATGGTGTTCCGAAAATCATCTCATCGTAATTTTCATCCCTTTGCAGAAAATGACTAATACACTGCCATCCTGATTTACTATCTGAAAGAGTCACGAGAATACATTTCTTCACTGTTGTATGACAAAGCATGCAACATTCATATATGTAGCTGGTAAAACCACAAAATTGTGATTTTCATGCTTATGAATTTCTTGACTTCACTGATAATTCGCAAAAATATATTTGTATACATAGAATAGATACTCTATCTTTTGTTTTCTTTTGTGATTGTGTTTTTACTCATCGCGAATTCTTAGAGAAAAAAGGCGCAAACGTTTTAAGATGTGCAAATTCATGCAAAACACTTTTACAATCATACATAGAACTTTTCTCGTGTTGCATAAATTTAATGAATTTTCCTTACTATGTGAAGATTGGCAGATCTTAGTTGAATTCATGTTGACAAAACTTAGTTCTGGCATTGGCGACTGAAGAGGAAAATCAATGCTTAATTCCAGAACATTTTCCGAAATGGAAAACTCCAATCTTCCTTCATTGACGAATCTGTGCAAAAGAAGAGAATCCAATTAGCACAGTGGTATAAAAGGAGATTTCAAAGATCTTACTCATAATCTTTGGGCACATTCACATCGAATTTAATGTACACGTAGAAGTTGTCTGCCTCTGTGATGTTTTTTATTCGAGCCCATCCATACCACTGGCGACTGGTTACATTGTAGCGATAGCGAAAGATTTCTGGACACGGAGAATCTGGCAGTTCTCTTGTCGATGTTTCCACGAAGATTGAGAGGAAAATGACTAGAGGCACTACAAAACTCGATCTATGCATTGCAAATGCACTCTCTGAAGCCTAGATGATTCACACTTTTTATAGAAATTAAATGCAGCAAAGTAAAAATGTCGAAGTGTAAAACAAGTAGCTATATTTCCTAGAAGAATGATTCGATAACACTGAACGATCTGCTGTAAATTTAGCGATCGCGAGTCTGGAAATGCCAAGTTTTTTGCATTTTCATTCAATACACACTCACACAAACTTGTCTATATCTCTTGAGCTTTTTTAAAATTTATTTATGGCTGGGGAATTACGCTTCTTCTGTGACGCAATAGCATTTCGGAGGAATTTGCTGAGGTAGATCACTAGCAGGCCACTTTGGGGCAGCAATAGGGGTAGTCCAGGTTCGGTCTGATGGGGATGATGACGCAATTGGGTCCAGTGGTCTTCAGAGGGTCGCAAAAGTCCACTTCGAGGATCTTTCCGTCGTAGCAGAAGTAGTTCACGCACTTCTCAGGATGAGTCCACTCTTTCCCGTGCTCCAGGATTTTGTCCAGAATGCGACACGGCGCCTGTCCATCCTGGGATGCGCTCAGCTTGCTGATGTCCTGCGGCACGTTTGGCGGAGCGCCACTTGAGATGGCGAAGAATGCGATCGCGAGCACAGAAACAGTCAAAACTACGCTCTGCATTTTTCCTGCTTATCAAGTCTGTGAAGTATATAAGAACGAATCTCCGTAGAGGGAAAAATCACGGTTGATCTTCAGCGGTCAGAGAGCGACTGATTGGCGAGCGAGACTGAAGCACGAGCGACAACTTACAGGTTGAAGGACAACCTGTGCGAGAGCGAGTTCGGTATGCGAGACGGGTTTTTTCGTGAGCGCTTGCGAAGATGCTCGTGGAGCTGTGGATTCGCGAGATTTCCCATTACATCACTAACCTGTGTTTTGGCATGGCACGTTGACCTCGAGACGAGTCAGCGGAGATCTCTGGCGCCTTCTGACCAACATCAGTCAGTCGCTCCGTGTTTTCCCTGCTCGCAACAAGTGCCCCAAAGTCCTCCCCTGAATGAGTGTCTCCTCGTGTCTCGTGCTCTTCCTCGCCCTGACCTGCCTCACTGCCTACCGAATTAAGCACCCAATATGCCCAGGAACGTTCACCACAATCTTAGTCGATCGGGACGTCGGTTGGGTGGGATTTTGCTACGCCTGGACGGAGTGGAATCATCGGCTGCAAAATTTGACCGTCACCGTTAACTTGGCAGTCCAGGAGCTGCCCAATTCCACCTTCCTGGGCTCACTGAAGATGCTGCACGTCTACAAGATCAACTCAAACCTGGAGAAAGATCGGTGGAATGTGATCTTCGAAACGAAGTTCCCCACTCAGGATCCTCTTCCTGACGTCACAGCCGTCCTTCTCAACGGTGACTATATCTGCTCAACTCGAGGTCAGTGTTTTATCTCCTCCCGTCTGACCGGTTCAGTGATGTCTTTTCTTTCTTCTCTGCTGCAGAAGGTGCATTTAACAGCACGAAGCCAATTAAGATTCAACTCTACATGGAGTACAACGATTATCTCAATACGCAAAAGTACACATCGAAAATCGTCGCTCAGCCTAAACCAAAGCCAGAAATACAGGATGTTGACACCAGGTTCGGGTAAGACGTGCTCTAGATGCCGAACGCTGAGATCTGAACTTCAATATTGTCTTTCAGTGAGGAAGACGTCGAGTGCGGCACAATTGACCACCTCAACATATTCCAATCTCTGGTGCTCAACGGGATGACCATCACGCGGGGAACCTGGCCGTGGCTCGTGTCGATCTTCACATATGTCGGTCCCAAGTTGGGATTCCAGTGCGGAGCCACTCTCATCTCAAAAAGTGTCGTGATAACGGCTGCTCATTGCTTCTTCGATCGCTACAACCGCCAGGTGGCCACTGAGGATATCCTTCTCATCCTAGGACAGCACAATTTGAAGCGACCTCACGATCAGGGAACTAAGATCGTGTATGCTCAGAGCGTAAATATCCACGAAAACTACGGGAAGCGCAACTCCATCGACTCCGATATCGCGGTGGTGGTTCTGTCGGAAGTGGTGAGATTCACCACCTACATCCGACCAGCCTGCCTGTGGAAGGGTCCCGCGAGCAAGGACAGCATCGTGGGCCAGAATGGAGTCACGGCAGGCTGGGGTCGCGATGAATTCGGAAACTTCTTCACCGAATTGCCCAAGAAGGCTGAAATTCCGGTGGTGTCGGATGAGACGTGCCTGCGCTCGCACGATGCCTTCACCAAGATCACCTCCGAGGTGACATTCTGCGCGGGGTGGCGCAACGGAACCGACGGTCCGTGCAATGGAGACTCTGGCGGAGGACTGATGTTCGACAGAGAGGGCAAATGGACCCTCAGAGGAGTCGTTTCCACCTCACTCACGGACAGACAGTCCAACTTGTGTGATCTTAAGGAGTATGTGGTGTTCACAGATGTCGTGAGCTTCACAACTTGGATTGAAACCTTTACGACTGATTGAACTTTGACTGATCTTGTGGCGTAAGTCACGGAAAAACTGCCAATAACGTTGATTTCCTTTTCCGCACAGGATTACTGAGGTATTTAAATAAATAACTGAGAACTCTAAACCATCACCTTTCTTTGGTGATTTGGAGTTTTTATTCAAATTGTTAACGTCTTAAAAATCGGGACAATATTCTTACTTGTATCGTTCATTAGAAAAATTAATGCTACAGCTTCATTCAAGCCAGTCAGTGCCGTCGAAATACTTGAGATGAGTATCGATCGGTTCGTGTGACCAAATCCAATCGACGAACTTCGAGACATCCGAGAAAACAGGATATTTGTTCAGATTGCAGCGATCAGGATGAGCGATCGGAGCCTTGGACATCACACCACGCAGAACCCATCGTCCACTCACATTCAAAGCGAATCCTGCGCCAGAATCCTCCTGACAAATGCCGCTCGTGCCGTTCCTCCAGCCGACGCAGAACGTGCGGTCGGTGGTGAGATGCTGATTGGAGATGCGACACTCGTAGTTTGTCACAAAAGGCACTTTGATCTTATACGGAAGACCATAGAAGATATTCTGTACTGGATCCTTCTTCCAACCCGCAGCAACGCCGACGCGATTGTTGATTTCCTCCGAATCAGAAGTATTCCAAAGGCAAATGGGATGAATAAGCTCAGTAAACTCCACGGGTTCCGATGTGACCAGCACAGCGATGTCTGCATCTGAATTGAGGCGATTGTAGGCCGGATGAAGGGTCAGGCTGAGTGGGGAAAGGAACGAACCTCCTGGAATAATGAATTCCTAAGTTAAATGGACTTAAAGAACATACTGTTGTTCACACCTTCTTCCATTCGAGTTCCCAAATTATGCTTTCCGAGGATCAAGGCAATATCGTCGACATTCAGCTTCACTCCGGTTTCATCCTGAAAGCAATTGGCAGCCGTGACCACAAGCCTCTCGGATATAAGACTGCCGCTGCAGAGGAAAGTGAGGGAAGTTGGAGTTTTCTTCAAGACAGCCACCAACCATGGCCAAGTTCCGCGATCGATAATCTCTTCTCCCTGCTCTCCAGTCTGGGGTATTGTTGAATTCACGGACGGATGTAGTGTTCCACACGCGTAAGGTTCACTGCAGAATACAGTTCATCTTAATTATCCAATCACACCCTTATGGATAAAACATTTTACCTATTATGAAAGAACTCAATATCAGATTCATCCAAGCCCAGTAGGATTTGCGTATCAAGGAAAAAGGGTGTTGTTGTGGATTCCGTGGCATCAAACTGAGGCTTTGGTGTAGTTGAAGTTACAGGAAAGTCGTTTGAGGGCGTAGAATCAGTTGCACCCGATGTTGTATCTTGCTGGTGAGGCTCTTTGGATCCTACAAGAAGGATCGCATTTCAATAGAATCGATTAAACTCATTTTATGCCGGCATTAAATTACCTGAGCTGAGCTTGGGATTGAAAGATTTGATCCAGTAGGTGAATTTGAACACATCCGTGAAGATTGTGTGCGCATCATGATCGCAATTGTTGTTATTGGCACCAATAAATGTGGAAATCACGCCACGCAACACCCACTGGCCGTTGACTTTCATCGCCAGTCCTCCGCCGCCGTTTCCTTGGCAAATTCCTGTGGCTTTACTTCCCCAGCCTGTGCAGAAGGTTCGCTTCGTGAATCTATACCTTCGGCTGAACTGACGGCAATCGGTGTTGTTCAGTATCGGTCTGTCGCCTGCCCATTGGGGAACAGGCGAAACGACTTCTCCCTGGTCATCCAGTGACCAGCCGGCGCCAATGCTCTTGCGACTGTTCATGTCTCTCAATGAAGTGGTGTTGCTCAAGCAAATGGGACGAATAAATTTGGTAAATTCCACAGATTCTGGCAAAACCAGAACCGCAATGTCTGCGTCGGGATTGTGGAAGCGATAGTCATTGTGAATATGAAGATTACTTGGATAGATTTTCTTTTCCCCTGGAAGAAAATCCACAGTTTGTTAGAAACATTGACTTAAATACAGACCAGAATGTCTCATTCGCACCTTCCTCTCGAATTCGTAGGTTATTCTTTCCCAGGATAACAGCAATGTTCTCAACTCGCAGTCTACTTCCGCTGCCATGGAACAAGCAATGAGCCGCTGTCACCACAAGCCTCTCAGCCACAAGAGATCCTCCACAGAGGAAGGTCAGAGCATCCGAAGAACTCCTTCGGTAAACTGCCACCAGCCACGGCCAAGTGCCAGGCTCGATGGGGTCTCCCTTCGTGGGAGGAAGTGTGAAGGTGAGCTGAGGATGCAGTGTTCCGCACTGAGTTACACCAGTGTCGACACATCGTGTTCCGTTCAATCCACACGATACATTAATATCTCTCTTTTGAGTAGTCGTGGAAGGTCTCTGAGTCGTACTAATCTGCATTGACGCTGTGCTCATCTGTGGGTAATCCTCTATTAAAGTGATGAAACTTGTTTGAAAGCCCCACTCTGAAAAATTTTAATAATTCCATTCAATCTAAATAGGTTCATAAGAAAATACTCATTCATCATACGTGTTATATTGTTGCAAATTATGTCAGAGTTGAAAGAGATGGAGTGAAGTTCAGGTAGTGGCGATTGAGCGGTGAAAAAGGCAAAGTAATAAACGGTTTCTCCTCTCTTAATGATATTGAGTTTTCCCGGATTCGCAGAACTGTTGGGGCGACAAAAAAAAAACAGAAAAATGTCGATGCATCATACAAAGATTGTTGCATTGCTGTGGACTTACAAGAAATTCTCCGGGGAATTAGAACGCAATTTGACGTTCAGACGAAAACTCTCGTCTTTCACATTATTTATCTGTCCAAATCCGTACCACTCATCACTGGTTTCATTGTGATAGAATTGAAATATATCCTTGCATCCTTCGTCAATCTGTCCCGAACAGAGACTAATTGAGGAAATGGCCAGAAGAAACACAAACGACGCCACAGAAGTCATAATGAATTTTCTATACCATTGAAATACCTTTCGACAAAAAGACACGACCGTAAACAGTGCTCGTCCACCGAATGAGTAAATGAACAGACTGAGAAGTCAACTGAAAAATATTCAATCTCAGACCGGAGAAGCCAAGATTTTTGCACACACACATAATCCATAAAGATCTATCTTTTATGCTTTGCTTTCCATGTTAAATGATGACCCTCGTGCCTCATGTGGGGAAATCCAAATCTACCGAAATGCAATAACACAGGTTGAGAGGAGGAAAAGAGGCTGAAGATATCTCTAAAGCAAAGATATTTTGCAATATTCAACTTAGAGCTTACTTCGTCATAATTTAAGCAGAGGCAAAAAAGCAGTTCGATGGTTATTTTAACTTCTCCACTCTATATATACTGTCCATATAGTCAAGTTTGTAATCAAGTTCACCTACACTAGCGAGCACTTTGCATGAAACACCTTCCTGACGTCATCCAACTGGTTGAGACACAGTTCAGGGGTGGAATACATGAACGCTGCGTAAAGCTATGTAAGCTTTGTATGAATGTACATTACATTGTCGACTATGTGAATTCGGAAATATCAAGAGTTAAAAAACAGGATTTTCCAGTTAGAATGTGTCGTATTGATTGTATATATGTGTTTTTGTTTTCACATAGAACTCAGATATGTGTGAGGTAATAGACTTTTGCCTTATGAATATTTCACCTGTTTAAGTGTCTCAAACGCAGCAAGAAATTGTTTTCTCATAGTTTTGCTGTGTAAAAGCGCATTGTATAAAATATATATGTTGTATTCAATTGTATGTTTCCCATTGTCAGAAGATATTCAAATTAGTTGTTAATTTCATGAAGGAAAACACCAAAATGATTTTTGGTAAAAACAATAAGTGATAATGAATACTTACACAACAAGAAATTAGTTATTAAGTCAAACAAGCTTTCTGAGAACATGCGCTATTTTATATATCATACATACATAGGAATTTATGCATACATTTGCTTCCAGCTTGAATCCAGAGCCAATTTGAAATTTTTCCTTTTGTACACACAAATATGGATTAGAATCACGAAGAACGGAAGGGAAAAGCCAGTTACGTGGTTATTCTGGGAACGAATATCAATTTATTCGATTTGCATAAAAGTGTCTATTCGTTTCATTAATATACTGAAGCAATCTGTCTGAGCTTTTGCGATTCATTTTCGCTCAGTCTCATTCGTGGAAGTGTCAACACACTTCTGACTTCACCTGTTCTTATTTCAAGAGATGCGATCAAGATCCATTCTCGACTTAATCCAGAGAAGGGTTGATGCACAGAAACAGATTAAGTAATTAAAGGAGATTAAAACACACTCACTTATCTCATTTCCTAAATTTTATTCACTGGTTGGATGTGAAAAATCTTCACACTTCAGAGAAATCCTTCACTTTCATCCATTCGCCATCCTTAATGTCCTATATTCTTGATCGTTAGTTTTTAAATTAATGTTTATAAATTAATTTAGGAAATAAACTTGTGTGTCCTTCGACCTTCTCATTCAGGGTGCACTTTGAAACTTCATCCTTTATACACGAGCTATAAAAGAGTTATTTACATTCTGAGTCACTCACGGGTGGAGCTCATGTTTACGAACAGAGAGATGGATACGTGTCCTCTGGGAGACGCGAGGAGACCGCACGAAGTATCCAGCGGCGTGAAAACAAGGAACAAGCATAGGGGAAATAGAGATCATTTCAGAACACTCACTTTGTCACACAATTCACCACACATTACAAACATCCACGGTGCCCTCCGTCTATGACGACTCCTATCCGGTCTTGCCTTTGGCCTGCGTCGCCTGCGGTGACTGCTGAGGCTGCGCCGTCTGCGGTTGCTGCTGCTGCTGCTGCTGCTGCGGGATCGAGATCATCTTCAGGCCCTGCAGCGTCTTCAGATTGATTGGTCCACCTTGAAAGCCGGGCGGCAGCAGAATCTGCCCGCCACTCTGTAGCGCCAGTACGACTCTCTGCTGTCCCGGACTGCCTGCGCCTGGTCCTTTCACTAGGTTGCCCTAAAACACCACCAACACAATTAGCTTCTTCTCCAGGAACAGTCCCAGAAATGCATTTACGCACCTTCTTCACCTGCGCTCCAATTATCATCTGAGGCGATTGCTGCTGCGTCGTCACCTGAACTGGCGTTTGTACCTTCACAGACGCTTGAGGCGATGCCTGACTCGATGTGGCCACGATCTTCCCCACGGGACTCCCTGCACTCGCCACGGCCGCTGATCCGGAAGCCGATACGCTATTATTGGCAGACGAATCCGCCGAAGACTGAGATTGCTGCTGCCCCTGCACCTTGACAAACTGATTTCCAATCATCACGGTCTGCGCATTGGAACTGGTGGGACTGATGAGATTGAGACTGTTGCTCTGCACTTTGAGTGTTTGACCACCGATCACGAGATTGGCACCATTTGTCCCGGCCGAACTCTGCAGAATCACACCCTGTGTCTGGCCACTCTGGCCAGGCGCTGCGGATTTGCTGGCAATAATCACCGGCTTCCCACCAATGTGGGCAATGTTCAGATTCGACGCATTCACCATCCTGAAAGTGACAGAAAAGAGGCAATAAATCTCTCATTCCAGAATAATTGAAAACTTAAGAATGTGATTACCTGATGCCTGGCTTCACTTTCCCCGCCGCGATGTTCTGAACTCCCAGAAGTTTAGCATTCACCATGGCTTGAGCCGGCGCCACAGCCTTTCCAGCACTTGTGGCTGTTGCCGTGGCCTTCTGGGCCAGCAATTTCTGCCCACCCTCACTTGCTGCCGTCGCCGTGGCGACTTTCACGCGCCCCTGTGAGGCCGTGGTTGTCACCGGCGCAGCAACAACACGCTGTGGAGTCGCCACGGAGATGATATTCCTCGCTGGCGACACCACGGCATACTGCGCAATGTGAGATCCGGGTGCTCCAGCCAACTGGATGAGATTCGTCTGGCCCGCCTTGGCGCCAGCCACCCGAATGGGACCGCCAATGCCTTGCTTCTGCAGCAGACTCTCCAGCGAGATTAGCTGACCGCTCTGGTTCGTGAGCACCTTCAAAGGACTCGCCCCACTGGCGGCTGGACGCACAGTAGCCACCGTGGTGGGCTTCCGGGCTATCGTCTGAGTCACAGCCGCAGACACCAGAGTCGTGGAGGCTGTTGTCACCACAGGTACTGACTTGTCTCCAGCGGATACTTGACTGGTCTGAGTGGTGGGAACCTTCTGCTGAATCTGCAGCATCGGATGTTGCTTGATGATGAGTGATTGCTGTCTCCCAGCAGTTGAGCTCTGTTGAAGATTCTGACTCTGAAAGGGAGACAATTAAGGTCAAATTTTTACATCACAGTTAAACTATAAAAACCTACCTTGAGTTGCTGCTGGCGGAGTGTGTTGAAGAGATTCTGCTGCTGCTGCGGCGTCAGATTCGACGTCGTCACTGTTTGCATCTTAGCCCCATTGGCCGCTCCCCCTGTCTGCTGAATCTGGATTATCTGCGGATTGATGAGACTGCTGCCAGGCATCGTGGACGTATTGGTGCCCGTCGTCACCGGCACTGTGCTCGTGACGATCTTCACGATACTCCCCGGGCCACTCTGAGCTTGATTCGCCGCCACGATGATAGACTTGAGTTGCTGCTGAGTAGCCTGACTCCCGCTGCCACTCACCACAACAGCGTTCTGCACCAGACGCTTCTGTTGCTGCTGCTGCGCAATGATGTTCTGCAGAATCTGCTTCTGTTGCGTGGTCGTCAGCTGTTGCTGACTCTTTACAATGCTCCCGGGTGGCGTCACGATGCCACTGACAACACTCAAGCCACTCTTCTGCTGCAACGTGGGTGTCTTTCCCGCAGTAGACACCACTGTGGGCGTCTTCTGCTGATGAAGGGAGATCACAGCTGGATTTATGAGGCTCTTCGTGCCAATGGTGGTCGCCACGCGAATTGCATTCTTCCCCAACAGTGACGAGCTCGCTGTGCTTGTGAGTGCCGGCGGAATGGAGCTCTTCACCAGCTTCGGATTCACTCCTGATGCCGAAGTTGCCGGCAGGGAACTAATCACTTTGGCTAGCGTGGGCTCGCCGCTGGCATTCGTCAGATTGAAGGGGATTATGTAGCTTTGGCCACTGGCAGAGGACTGGGTGAGGAGCGGTGGAGCGCCCTTGCTGGGACTCTGTATCAGAATTGGTGGCTTTCCTGGCGCCTTCTTCACCCGAGCCGCCACATTCGGACTCTGAGAACGATTTTGCTGGTTCACCAGAACGGAATGTGTAGCAGAGTTGGCCAGCAAGGATGTCAGGGGACGCGAAGAGGCACTTCCATGGGTGGTGGTGGCCACAGACACATGCACTGTCTGAATGCCACTCGAAGTGGACACCTTGACGGAAGTTGTGGGCGACGGAGCACCAAGAGAGGCTTTCTGGACGAGTCCAGGAACACTTTGGAGGGACTTGTTGATTAGAACTGGTGTTGTGTGCGCCTCTAGGCTCGCCTCCACGTCAATGTGCTCAATCTGATTCTTCTCCGTGGCCAAAGGAGGAATGCTCTTGATCGGCACCAGCTCAGCCTTCACCACAGAACGATGAGGGGAGATTTTGTTAAGCAGTGGCGGCGGAGTCTGAACCACTGGCAGCTGATTCGTTGTGTTGGACTGAATTGTGCTCAAAGCCGGCAATTGTTGACTCTTGCCCACAATCGACGGCAGCCCTGATAACTTCTGCGGTGACTTTATGATCTTCCCAGCCGCAACAACAACCGACGTCTGTGCCATCACGCCTCCCGTCGATATGGACTTCAGCACGTTCACATGACTGTTGGTCGGTGGGCTCTTGCCGGACACAATTCGGCTGCTGGGCTTCAGTTTGGTCCTGCTAGGCACCTTCTTTGGCTTCGACATCCCCTGCTGCTGCTGATGCAGCCGGTCAAATTCATCCTCCGAGCGATCACGATGCAGATAAATCCAGATTTTACGCTTCGAGTCGAACCTCACGCACGGATCGTGCTCTGTATGCATGCGATCTAGAGCACCGCTCACAATGGTCTGCAGAACATTGTCCTGCGCCGAGGGGTTCAGGTACTGACTACTCTTAAGCAGCTCACAGATGTCCGCCCGCGTGCCTTCGCCATTCGGCAGGCGTGCCGTGGCGTCGCGCACCAGCGTGAGGATTGTAACAAAGTTGGGTCGATCCCTGGTCAACATGTTGTGCAGCCTGGCCTTGCTCACGCCCGGCACTTGCGTGTAGATTCCCTTCACGGGACCCACCACACTCTCGTACCCGTGCATCCTGTAAGTGAACGCCATGTGTGGATTGTCGAAACGATGTCTCTCCTGTCGCCTGAACTCCTCAATCTCATCCTCGGAGGCCTTCTGCACTGTCCACGCGGTGGGGCAGCGCGGCGGCGGCGGAGACACGGGCTTCTCGGGTGGCATTAAGCCACTACTGAATTCCTCTCCATCACTGAAGCTCGAACTGCGAGTCTTCTCCAACTTTGGTGGGTTCGGCCGCGTCCCCATCTCATGCTTCCGACTGAGCCAATAGGCACACAGCGGAATGAGGTGCTGATCTGTGTCCCTTCCCGCGCCGATCCACTGATAAATGTCCAGGTTGACTTTGTACTCGAGGTAGGGCACGTAGTCTTCTGGCTGGTCAACAAACTCTCCCGCCAGAAAGTGAATCACCGATGGCAACTGCGTCAGCCAGTTGTCGCACAGAGAGAACCAGTCATTGAGTGGTGTGATAGGATTCCCCAGCCAAGTCGCAATTTTCCGCTGAAGATTGTCCATTGCCATTCTGTGATCAGGAGTGGCGCAGAAAATGTCACGAATTAGCGAGAGGAAGCACGCATGAGTCTCCTGCATCAGCTCTGGTGAGCAATTTGCCTCATCCGTGATATCATTGAGGATGTCAATGTGATCGGAGGCGTCCAAGTCCACAGGCAAGTGCATCATATCGATTCCCTCAAGATCGCTGAATGTTGCCGGCTTTACCTTGTCAAACACCTGCAAACAGAACGCGATAAGCACGCAACTCAACAGATATTTTCCCATTATCTCTACCTGTGAATGATTTCCTGGTGAATCCTCGCCAACTTGAGTCTCCTCAATCTTGATTATGTCACGAATATCCACATCGTCTTCCTCCTCTTCCTCCTCCAACTTCACATGAATCATTGAATTTGTGGGAACAATGCTTCCATTGGCAGCTGTTACCTTCTTCTTCACCCCACTGGCTCCGCTTGGAGAAACGCTGTTTGCTCTCTTCTTCACCACGAGCTTCTTCCTCTCGACACCCGGAATCTTCACAGCAGACTCCGAGCTGGGCGTTGGCGAAAGGTACAGTTCTGGCTCAATCTTCACCAGAGGATCCTCCTCACTTTTCGCTGTCATCAGCAGCGACGGAGATTTGTAGAGAGTCGATGTCGTTTGTGGCTGCTGCGGTGGCTTTGTGACATTGCCTGTGGTCTGTATTTGTATACTTGGGATGGGGGCAGCCGCGATGTCCTGCTTCAGCTTCGCCAGGGCGCTCTTCTTCGCGCCCAGAGTCACTTTTCCACTATTTGGCGTCAATCTTCGATATCCCACAGAAAGTTGGGTCCTCGCGTAGATATCTTTCAGCTTCACCTCACTCACATCGAGTTCCGGATGCTCCTGCAATAGACAGAAAGACAAATACTTCAGCTTCTGGGCAGAAAAATACGCAATAAAAGTGATAAAATGTCATCCGAACAACTCACTGCTTCCCGAAGTTTCCTCTTCTTGTGCTGATACAGCATCGTTCTGTAGGAATCTTCGGTGGGTGGCACCACGTTCAGCGGAACTCCGGGATTCTCTGCCGAGGCAAATCGCTGCGTGAAAGTGCTGATAATCTTCACCTCGGCACAGGGACTCGTGGGTCCTGGATTCAGAGCGAGATTGCGCTTCTTCCGCGCGATTGAGGGCGCCGCAGAAGCGCCCATGTCGGGGAATCCCTCGTCGTCCGATAGAGGGATGCCCATTTCTTTGGCCGTGCTGGAGATTTCCTGATAAAAGCGCTTCTTTGCCCTCACGGCGGCTGCCACATTGACAGCCTTAGCCACGTGATTCGCGGACTCCGCAGCGCGCTTCAGGGAGGCTCCCGGAGGCGAATCGTACGCCAGTCGCAAAAGCCTCTCGCGCGACATCACGCTCGCCTTGGCTATCCGGCTGATCCTCTCGCACTCCTGATAGCGCTGCTCGCGGCGCTGTGATCTCAGAATACTGTTGCGGTACTTGACAATGTCAGGCCGATAGTTTCCCTCCTCAAGGTTCCTCTGGAAGTCCACGAGGGGCGACGATCCGAAGCGAAATGTCTCCCGATTGAAGATCATCTGCAGCGTGATGTCTTTCTCGTGCTCATCGTTCCCCGGGAACTTGGGCAAGAAGTTGTCCACGAGGTACGTGCGCATATCATTGGTCAGTGTGTTCCACATCTTGTCCGAGAAGAACTCATTGAAGATGCTCTTGCTCTCGCAGAGACCCTTGGGCAGGTTCAGTCGCTGCTTGGCGATCGTGGCCGCCTCGAGGGGCTCACCCACGTCGTCCACGCTCTCCTCCGACCGTCCCGTTGTCGAGCTGGCCGACGTGTTGCGGGATTCCGTGGAGTTCTGCGAGCATTCAGAATCCGTGTCCATCTCCATAGTCCACTGCGCTGTGTACGTGCACTCCCCGATGTCCTCAGATGGCCGCAAACTGCAAGAAATGTGCCCAAATTAGTTCCCAAAAGCCCTGCCGGGAGATCCTCGAGCGCCTTGTTTGGCCACACTCACCATCTTTGAGGTTATGTTCAGCCCCGAGGGAGTCTCGGTAAACACTTGGAAGCCAGAGAAACAGCCCCCGCGCACTTCGCCGCCGCAGCAACGCTCTGGACTCGTGATGGAGTGCAAATCAATAGAGAATGCCTTATATAACCAGCGAGTGGGAATCGTGCGAGACTGCAGAGGCCAGGCTTCTTTCTCCTCTCACAGGTTCCAATCCTCAAACGTCAATCGCGATACCAAGTCAAACATCCACGATATGCGGTGTATTTATAGACCTGCCGTCGATTGCAGTGGCCCCAGCACCCCGAGAAGATGCCACCGAGTCGCTCAAGCTATCGCATTTGCTGCTCCCTTGTCGTATTCTGCGAAAACTTTCCATTAATTCGCACGAAGACTTTTTTTGCTGGTCGGGCCAAGCACTCTTTGCACCCTCATTTGTGCACCTTTGCCTACATATTCTGCACTCGCGACCACGGCGAACGGCACTAGCAACTCTCCGTTTATCACTCGGGAGTACTTTTCGCGCACAATTTCCACTTCTCAGCCAGTTTTTCACGCGTTTTCCACAAAGTGCAATTTTTAGTGCTTTTCCAAACGTCAAATAGTGACCGACTTGGGCGACATCTGCGATCGACCGAACCAACGCCGATTGTTTTCGGGGTTATGTGCGAATGGCGTGAAATTTACAAATGTTGTGAAAGAAATGAAATTTTGCAGTAAATTTCGCTTAGGCATTGAAGTAGGGAAGGGAATGAAAAAATGACGACTTTTCATGGCAAAAATTGTAAGAATTAGAACTGCGTATTCTAATTTTGCTGGATTGATTATTATAAATATTAAAGAGTGAAATTTTGAGAAAATAATATAATGTTTCATCAGTGTTTCATATGCATTCAAATTTACTCAAATGAAACAAGTGTTTCGGTTGAGTTTCACAAACATTGATGCATGATAAACAATTATGATTAAAACATTAGCAATTGCAAAATAAAACCTTCGGAAAATGAATAATTGTTATTCTCCCTGAGTTCGCATTTAAAAAAAAAACCAATAGTGAATAGAATTCTCATATAATCTCTTTGTGTGAGAGGCAGAAATATAAAATTCTGATTGTGTGAATCTTCCTCGTGAAGCATATGCTGCATTCACCATCTTAAAATAAGAACTCTTTCAACAGCATTTTCAAAAGGTCCACCGAATAATTCGCATATGAAGAAATGGCAGAGTGCAATAGAGAAACGAAATAAAACACACTTTGTACTATTTTAGAAGAAATATTCTACTTTTGGTCGATATTTTATTAATATTTCCAAACTACACAACAACTTAGTAAATTTTTCTTGATCCTTGAAACACGCTAAATTGATGATAAAAGGTCAATTATTGTCTTCTTTCTCTTTCAAATTTCCTTTCGAATCAATTTCCATGTCAAAATAATCAAACACAGGAGGTGTTAGGCATTTGCAATCTCACAATTTCAACGCGTGTTATTTTATCTTAAAATTATCTTGCAATTTAAACTTGGAGTACAAGATAAGAAAGATGAAATGATGAAAACAGTTCAAGAATGTGATGTGATTTTGTGTTATGTGATAAAAAGTTCACATTATTATTCTAAATCGTCTTTTAAATAGACTTGTTAAAAGACAACAAGAATTCATTATATGTAGTATATTTTATCTCTTGCAGAGATGATAAAATTTATTCTTCACTTGTTTTCCTACGTTCTAGAAAATGTTCTTGTGTCATATAGATTGCAAAATGAAATGCTCTCATTATTTTGATATGATTCCTGGAGAGATTTTAGTGATATATGCAGTAACAAGGAGAGGCAATTCATGAGGAAAAGCTTCAGCCTGAGACGGAAGACAGAGCGAATGTTGCAGTGTGACTTAAGGATAAGGATCAAAATAAATAAATACGCACAAGTATTTTCTGTATAATTTTGAAATGGCACTAAAATTATATATTAAGGAGTTTGTGGAATGTCTTCCTCTCGCACATGCTGGAAAGTTTCCCTCAAGAATTTCCCTCTCAATGGGGGAAAATCTTGTATTTACATGGATATTCATCTTCTATTTTTTGCTTTTTTTCAATATTTCTATCTAAAAATGTTGTATAATGTACAATTTTCTTCATTCGATATATAATTTCCTCTTTACAACTGGAAATTCTGCAAGAGTTTCAAGAACACCCATTCGCATTCCTTCCTTTCATCCCTACCAATTTTTTTTTTTAATATCTTCTTCGTCGTTTTTTTTTTCTTAAAATTAACAAAATAGAATAATATTTATTCATATATCCCATTAAAAGGCAACAATATATAATTTGATGTGTGTTCCGCTTGGGGGAGAGATAGTTTCTTCCACTTTTTCTTAAGATTTCTTTCGCCTGGAAAGGATCTGGGATGATGTGTCTGAGAAGAATCCTTAAAATTACAAAACAACTTTCTCAAGAGCCTTAAGAATTAAGAAGCTTTTAAATTGCCGATGGTGTTTTCTATATAAACTGCGACACGTAGCACTTGGTCAGGACGCCAGTGTCCAGATTCCTCCAGCATCTCACCAAATGCTATTCAAGATTGGGTGAATGCCTGGTTGAAATTCGGGGATAAAGCTGCAAAGTGAGAAAGGAATTAATTAGTAGAGGCTCTAATCAGGAACTCGGTGGTAAACTTACTCCAAGGAGATTCCGAGGAACGTAACCCTCCTTTCCAGTGCTGTCCTTTGCCCACCACCATTCCCTCTCGGCATCGTCTCCCTTTCGCAGAATCGTCAGGCGATCGTTGATGCAGAACGTCAGCTCATCGGCCTGCTGGGCATCGTATGAGAAGACAGCGGAAACTTCGCCGCTGTTGAGGATTCCTAGTTTTTCCTGAATGCCTATTAAAAGAAAAGAGAGAGAGAGAGAAATTAAGTTTCCACTCATGAATTTTCTGCTTCTCAAATCCTCAAATAATGCAAATATCAAACAAATCAATTGCAAACTTCCTCAAGAGATTCACTGTTAAACTTGGAATCATTTGTCTGGAAGACCGTGTTAGAACTTTCAGAAAATCTTCCCAACTTTATATTAGATTCACATAATTTTCTACAATATGTTGGAAAAGTTTATTTAGCTTTCTGGCGCGCTTATGAAATTCACAATGAAATTTCAAATGAACGAAATGTTACTCAATCTTTTATGGATTTTTTTTAGTAAAAAGAAAGCAGTCTTAAAATTGCAAGATGTAAGAAATTTATACTCACTGTAGAGATATTCAGAGCAGCCGTCGAATCCTTCCTCGTCCTCTTCGCACTTCTCAGCCGGAGTTTCGTGGTCTGAGAGTGTGGCGGCAAACAGACATGCTCCAGATTCCACCAGGAATTTCACCATGGCCAAGTTGTTGCAACTGGCGGCACAGTGCAGTGGGGTCCAGCCATCACTATCCTGAGCATTCACGTCGCATCCATATTCCACCAAGAATCTGAAAGTGAAGAGAATATTAGAGTCCGAACTTTTGCCTGGTCACCGTCGAGAAACTTACTTGACAATCTCCAAGTGTCCAGCACAGATTGCATTGTGGAGCGCCGTTATGCCCTCGTCATTGGCGGCACTGGGATTTGTGACTTGCATCGCCGTCTTCCGCACCAACTCGAGCTCCCCTTCCAGACTGGCGTCGAGGAGCAGAGCCAGTGGGTCGAAGCTCACCCTGCGTGCTAGCTTGGCTTTGCCACCGCCCTCTCCTGAGGAAATGCTGCGGGTCCTGCGCGGCACTATGTCGCTTTCCGAGGATGTCACCGTGTCGTCGGCTGAGGAGCCCGTGGACTTGTCCGTCTCGTCCAGTGATCCGTTTGGCGTCGCGGGTTCCTCGGGGGATGGTTTTGGCGGGGCGACTGGTGGGGAGGACTGCGGGGGATCGCTCTTGTCCTTTAGCTCCGCCGTGGCCACTTCAGGGAAGAGGAAGGCCGGAGGCATCTCGATGCGCCGCGAGGTGTACTGCACGGGCTTGATACCAGAGCTGGACCGCAGCTTCGGCTGCTCGTGGATGGGCTGCTTCTTGATCGTGAGGGGCTTCGGCTTGATGGGCAGATTGTCTGAGAGCCCCATGGGCGGCGGCAGCACAGGCGACGAGGAGTCGCTGCTGCTGCTGGCCGGCTCCGTGACCGGCGGCTTGTTGATCATGCTCACGATCGTGGGTGCCGAAGTGGTCGGGGATGTAGCCGCGGCTGAGGTACTGGGTGAGTCCGTGTCTGACTGGGGTGGGGATTTGTTGGGCTTGGGAGGCAGAGCTGGTCTCACCTTGTCCGCCTCACTTGCTACACTCACGGGAATGCCGCTCGCGTGATTTACACTGGGCGCCACCATTTGTACTTTGGGATTGTGGGCGACAATCTTAGGGATCATGGTCGTGGGTGCGACGCTACTGATGGGCTTTCGCGGTGGCACGACCAGATTCCCACTCGGGATCTGATGCAGTGACTTGGGCTTCGGTGTGGGCTTGTCCTCCTTCTTCTGGACGCTCTTCGCCATCTCTCCCGCCTTCTCACTATCACATTCGTTCGTTTTCGATACACTTCCATTCGACGTCACGGTAGTCGTGGTCGTTGTTGCCGCCGCCGCAGAAACCGCCGACGGCGCCGATGATGGGGTTTTGGCGCCAAAGGGAGTTCCGAACTTGGTGTTGTACGGCAGAGTCTGATATTTGGGATCATTCTTCTTCGCGGCAAAGTCCGTCACCGTCAGGTCCTCATCGGCATCCTTCATCTTCGCGGCCAGTTGTCTCTTCTGCCTGGCCAGCTTACTCTCATCACTCTCAGCGTACGCCACGTGATTCACGATGCTCGCCTGGCTCGAGTTCTGACTCATCTGCTTCAGAGCGGCCAGGTCATGGATGAGATGGTGTGCAGGCTTCGTGATCGGGGCAGCGCTCTTTTGGGGCGTGTGTACGTACGGCTCAACGGCGGCCACGTTATTAGCCCTCGGGGCCACCCTCTGCGAGGGGTACACATTGCTGGAGGGCCTCACAGTGGCTGTTGTGCCATTCTGAAGTGGCTGCGTGGCCGCCGGCGGCGTCAGCTGGGGTGGCGACGGTGATGGATGCTGGGCTGCTTGAAGGAGCAAATTGGACGCTTTCTTGCGCTGCAGTCGGCTCTGCAACTCCAGTATTCTCTGGTCCACGGAGCGCAGTTCCGCCTGACGCTGCTGAAGAGCCTCTCTCTGTAGATGAAGTCGTGCATCTTGCTGCAGGGACAGCTGATTGCGATACTAAAGAGCGAGACAATTAGTGTCACACTCTCTTCAACAGGTAATTAGACACTTTGTCACTCACCATCAATTCCCGACGCAGTTTGTCAAGCTCACGAGCCGCTGCGGATTGCTGCTGGTTGCCACCGGGGGCTCCGCCCGGTATCAAGTTGAGTGGGCCGCGCCGATCCCGCCTCAAGTCCTCCAGCTGCCTCGTAAGAGCCTCCACCTTTGCCACAGCCAAACTCAGCTCCTTCTCTTTCTCGCTGAACAGCGCCCTAATGGAGTCCAGATCATTGCCTGCAAGGATACAAGTGAGTTTCTTAATTTCCTTCGCCTCCGCATCTCACCAACCAATCAGGGAGAAGTGCCGTGGAGTGGAGAAGTTCAAATTGTCCTCAGTCGCATCATTAATCACGGATTACGACCTCTTATCAACCCCTATCGTTGCCATTTCTCTCCTAACGACACATAAATAAATTATTAAATTCTCGTGGTCACGTCCCAGCCCAAGAATTCATCTCGCCCTTTCACACAGTATCTACGACTCCCAAGTGTTTTTAGGCTGACTTCATAAATCTCAAGTTTCATGTGTGCTTTCTACTCTCTCTGCGCCACTTCTTTATCATTTATTTGTGACTCTTTGCCCTGGGTGAGTACAATGAGAGTACGTTATTATCCACCGGAGATGCGCAAAAAGGAGTGTCATTCACGATTATAGCCTTGGCATTTAAGTACATCCAGCAAATGGATTATTTTCTATTAAACATATAGAAGATTTCTCTCTGAAGTTCTTGTGAATGGACTAATTATATTTCTTGGAATTCTCTTGGGGATCAGTATCTACAAACAAGAGATTTCCAAACCTGTAAATCTAATTATCAAATTAACAAGAAACCATGAAAGCTCACTTTCACTATTCTAGGAAAACTCTCCTGGAAGTTTGAAGTATGAGAAAGGAAAGAGGATCGTTTAAAGTAATTGAATTAGAAAGTTAACCAGGTGAAAACTTGCAAAAGTCGCCCTATTTGCATCAAACACCATCAACATGAAAATTTCATCCCAAAAGCTAAAAAAAGGTTAGGGTGAAAATATTCATCAAGTAAATGAATGCAATGAATGAGAACAGCTTTTTTACGCTGCGAGTGAGTCTATGAATGGCGAAATTCATTAGTGAGCGAATGAAATGCCCTTGATAATGCACTCATTTCATGATTGCAGTTTTCAACGCCCGCAGGGAGAAGCCAGTGGAAAATACATGAGATGCTGAATCAGAAACCGCAGTGTCTTGACTTCATCGATTCAATTCACTTGAGTGGCAAATTGTGCCACATTCTGATTACCCAACCAGCCACACTGATGGGATCTCGTGAGTGGGAGGGAGGCGCAAAGAAGCTGCACGGAGGGATAAAATTATCACACGCTTGAGACAATTTGCTCTTCAATATTCATATCACTGCGGGGGTGTGGATATGCTCAAGACGCCGGAGCCGTCGATGAAGAGAGATTAAATGCCGGATCGGATGCACATCAGGGAGAAAAGACGGTGTCTGAGGTGATGCAGAACTCACGGGTATCGCTAGAAAGGGCATATGATCGTGAAAATAAGCCGGAAGGATGGATTGCAGTATTCAAATCACGAAATAGCGCACATGGAATTGAATTTCAATTTTCAAGGTGTGAAGACCGTCAAGCGAACTGAATTCAATAGCACGAAATTCAGCCACAAAAAGTATTTCTTGCGGTTTGCACGTTTTCATTGGCTTATTGCGGGAATCGCCATGATTTTCCGGATGGAAATGGCTTCGCGTGAAAGCTACACAAAGGCATCCACTAATAAGGTCGTCAACATATCCTTGGGCTATTGCTATACGAATTAGCACGTGAAGCATCTGCACTTTTGTGCAGTTGAGTATCTCATTTATCCTTTGAGCGCCACCTAAATAATACAAAGAGCTCTTAATTAAATTTTAAACTTCACGAGAGAGGGTAATTAAAAACATGTAAATAATAAATCAAGCGAAGTAACGAACATTGTGAAGCATTAAAAGCACTGCGTGAGAAAATTTTAACAGCTGAATGTCACTGACGTTTCCCATGAAGAGCATCTAAAAATTGTCCAAAGACCGCATGCTTCTGACTTCTCAATGAAATATTCAAGTCAATTGGAAACTAAAATGTTTGCGTGTCGTTCACATTCAATTCTCTTTCTCTCTCTCTGTTCTCAATAAAGGACATTTTTTCATTGTGCCACTTTTAGAACTTTCCACCGACAATGTGTACAATTTTAAATAATTAAGTAGGGTGGAAATGTTCCTCCGCTTTTCCTCTTGAACTCTCACACATGTGGTGAAAAAGTAATCAATAAAAATGCCCCCTGAATGAGACGCTCAACTGCAAAGCAGACAAACTTTCCCACATATGCGAGCTTTCCTCAAGTACCTGCCTTACAGAAGCTTCTCTGATGACTGGAATTCCTTTTTTCCACTTGCGGTTGACATTAAATTCCGTCAAGGAATTTCAGAGCAGAAGAAAAATGGAGCGAAAGCAAAGACGTAATTCAATCATAACTCGTTGATGGGATAATGTTTTCCTTCTCGAGGTAATTTAATTACTTTTACGTCACCAGAAGGAATACACGAAAGAATTAAAATGATTTTTTTTGCTGAAACACATTCTGTTTGGTAGAATGAAGAGAAGAAACAATACAACGTTAAGGAATCTCTATTCTTTAATCTGCATTTGTGGGGAGAATACTTAAAGTTTATTCCACGATTTTGCTTTTAGGTGTTTTCCTTCTGTTTGTTCAGAGCGGAAAGTAGAGAATGGAGGAAATTTTCTAACTATAGTTCTAAGAGAAATTGCCTCTTATCCCGACTCTGTGTGATTTTAATTCAAATGAGTGTACATGGCAAGTTTTAAGAAAAGCTCCTCTTTGAAACTTTTTCGATTACATCAAAGTTGGAGGATTTCGCTCAAAATATCCATTTGATCCTAATGAATTTTGTTTTGGTGCCAGAAAGGGACAATTGTTCTATCCGACAACTTTTCAATAGGATTCGCGAATTTCGAGAGAAAGAGAGGAAAAAAATAGGAAAAAGATTCGCTTGTGTCTTAACTTCATTTCAGTTGAGGTGCTGCTAAAATTTTAATATTAATTTTCAGCTAGTGCAGAGGATTTGAGTTTCCTTCATGAACACCGTGCGAAAATGTCCTTTCAGGTCTTCTTTCATGTCAGCAAAAACACCGCAGGTCGACTGTATTTATACTGCACTTAATCGAAAAAGTTGCAACTGTTAACTGCAAAACTTTTTCCAACGCGACAATTTTCTCTCCTGTGACAGTTTTCTCAGCTAGTTTTTTTCTCACATCATTGGAGTCATTAAAAAGTTATCACCATGAAGAGAGTGTTTAATCGCTATGATGATGTATTTGTTCATTCTTTTTCATCAGAATATGATTTCAGCATTTCAAAGCTTATTTCATCCGATTAAATGGAAAGGAAAACAAACAACTTGATTTACATATATTTAAATTCACGAAGCCAGTCCATTCTACATCATCTCTTCCCCTGTGTTTTCATCGGCATGATCCGAGTATCTTTAAAACAACGTCTATCGAGAAAACTTGTGGGAGAATTGTAAATTCGTAGAAGAAAAACAGTGGAAATTTCTCAGGCAATGTATTCTTCGCCAAAGTGTAAGGAGAATTTACTATAATTCATCGATGGCAGAATCCATTCAAGGGGATTGAAACACGAGAGAGATTGTCGCTTCGTCAGCAGGATAAAAGTTCTATTCATTTTTAAAATCCACCACAAGTCTCTCGTGGATTTCATTCTTTTCCACCGCTTTTCTTCTCCGGGAAATTTATCCCATTGATCGGGTGTGTGTCTCTTCCAATTTTCCTCGTGCTACACATTTCACGGGCGCCCCAGAGCTTTTCGGAACTGTGACACACAATCCCAATTTTTGCGAAGTCAATACACAAGTACTCAAATCCAATTTGGAGTGTTGCAGTAATTTTGCCTCCCAAAAATTGGATGAGACGTTTAGGAGAAGATCTTCCGCAAATTGACGTAGTTTTCTGCCAAATAATTTGTATATTTTGACGAGAAATGTTTGTCAACAATGTGCTCAACAGTGTGATTCATTGGCCATTGTTCGTCTCGAGTGATTTCCCATTGGGAAGTGACCGAGGATGGGAAGAGAGTTGAGCACAAAAGTGCAAACTTTCGGAGTATTATTGAAATTTTAATTGAATTGAGGGATTTCAGCATTTCAAAAGCACTCGCCAGCATCTCTCCACCCCGGTGAGAAACAATGGGATTGTGAGCGCTGGTCAAAAGTTTGTTCAATCTTTGCCGAGTGAATGGGTTTTTTGATGGGTAGCAACACTCACGAAATGCATAATAACTAATTTGTTCCATTGGCACGTTCGTCCTCTCTTCCTTTTTGTCTGCCATTCCCTTCATATTGAATCTCGCCCGAGCGCCACCCGCAATATATTGCTCCATTTGCTCATGCGAATCTCACCCCCTTGACCTTTGACATATAAGAAACTCCCCATCTTCGTCGCATTTGATTCACTCAGTGTGTGCTCCACGAGAGGAGAAATTTCCTCTCCTAGTCCAGAGAGCTTTCGACGTGGAGAGACGGAGAAAAAAGCTCTCAAGACTTGTTGGATGAAATTCATATTCCATAATAATGAGTTTCGTGACTTTTTCGCCCAGCATCTACACTTTCACGCTCGACATTTGTCCCATTCTGCCGCACACATAATGAGACAATAAAACCCTCATAATTAGTTGACACTAAAATTCCATGTGATACTCTCTCGAACAGTATGTCTCGGAGTTTATCTCGCCTGTGGGGTGCCTTCTGAATCCCACCCAGGCAGATTTCACGCATGGAATCCACTTGATGGATATTAACACATAAAATTGACGATAAGTCGAGATTAGCAGTAAATGCACTTATTGTCCTCGAAAGATTTTATTAATATATCTCTGGCTCCACAAATGTCTTCTTCCCAGCCAAAGCTTATGGCATTTGATGGGCCAAATGAGTCTTCAAGAGATAATTCCCCATATATTTCATACTTTCGTGTTGCCCATCATCGATAAATCTCCTATGGCGATGGTCGTCTGTAATTCGGGAATGAGTGAGTAACATTCGATAAACGGCTCATTTCATTGGAGAACTGCATGGAAATGCTGATAAAATTACACTTGGAATATCCTGCCAGAGACACGCGGGGCGATATTGTGGGGATGCGATGAACATGAAAAGGGTGGCGGT